AATGCTTCCAACAATGGCGGCACCGCTGGGAGAAGTGTGTGGAGTCCCAAGGAGACTACTTTGAGGGTGATAAGGTTTCCAACGCTCCAAGTATGCCAGTTTTTATTCCCCGGCCAAAGGTCGGATACTTTTCTCACAGGCCTCGTACAGTCCCTACAAACACTCTGCAGGTCTTAATGACAAATTAATTTATGATGTGTGTTTGCTTTTCTATATTTAGCTTAGTTATTTTTTTTATCTTTTTTTGCTACCTGCTGGCAGACCGCTTAGTTCTCTCTCTTTAGGGCCTGTAAGCCACCAGATAAAAAGTCCTGCCTTAGAGTAACATATGCACCATCTTGTGGGTCAGATAATGCCTTAATGATACAACTTCTTCTATTGGATGGGAATGACCAAAAGTGACATGGGTAGTGCACATTCCCTGGGAGGAACTGCATTATATTCTTGTGTATATAATACTATGTTTTCTGAGTTTGGAACACATTCTACATTTTCACTGACTTCCAACAGCTCTTTCTAAGATTTCTCCTTTCAGTCTCCAGTAAAGTTGCTATCTTTCATAAAATACACTCACTTTGATTGTGTTTGATAATGTTTCATTTGTTTTACGTTGTTCAATCTCTTTCTATTTCACAATACAGTGAAATTAGTATTATTTTGAGCAATTAAATAATAATGAATATTAACTTGTTGTAACTTTTTATTAAAACAATCTTACCTTAAATAACACTTGCATTTGTAGCTTGTAATAAATAAGCAATATGTTAAGATAAAGCTATACTATTTAGATATACAAGGTAAACACGAACATCTAGTTATGTAACTAACAGCCACACCCAAAATTTGTGTTTCCAATTGTTACTATTTTCAAACTATTCAAGTAATTCCAATATAAACTATTACTACTTCTATTGTCACAAGTGTGTGTGATGGTTTGCATGTGTTCTGCTTGTATACAACTTACAAGTTTAAGATGAATTGATTATTATTGTAAATTATGATACTAACTGATTACACTGAACAACATCAAATTAATGAAAAATAATAATGATATTGATTAGTTCATTATTTTAGGTGACACTAACTGGTACTCATGGATAATAGCTAAAATTGATTAATCAAGTTATTCTTGCAGCTCTGATTGTACATAGGGAGTTAGACAAGAACAGTTCTGTATTCTTGAAGCCCATAGTGATAAGGTAAATGTAGTAGTTTTGTAATTCTTCCTTGCAAAATAGACCATCCAATTGCTGTCTTACTATGTATTTAACCCTGCATTAATCTTCTGCACAAATTTTCCATAGTCACTCTTCCAGGGTCCAAGCTGACTCCATCATAAAAAATTAATTTAAAAATACTTAAATAATAATAAACTATTATTTTGGAAACAAAAAACACTAACACTCAAAATCCTTTCCTTTATTAATCAATAAATGAACATTGAATATTATAAGTTGTTTCTTTTTTACCACCTAAACTAAGTGTAACAATTTAACACAAACTAGTCAAATATAGAAACTAGTGAGAACAACAAATGTATGTGCTTCCATCTGTCTGCACCAACGTTTACAAAATACTTGGGGTCCGTGAAGACCCTGGAAGACTAAGTACTATCCTAAACACTCATTCAAGTTAAATGTTTATAATCTGTACCTCTAAACAGTGCCATCAGAGATTAAGCATGTTCTACAGAAAACTGCATTAGCTGCAGGGAAATTTGCATAAGAAGTTGGCTTTGATGTGCTTAAAACATTGAAATTTGTCACATTCATAGATATGTATGTATGTATGACAACTTGTTGTTAATGAGCCTAAGCTGTACTTGGTCATAACACAAATTCTATATAGCAACAAAAGATATGATCTAGGTTTGAAAATCTAATTTTTTTTCAGTTTTATTATTTTGTGGAAATACCATGTATTAGTCTCTTGAAGTAATTATTTTCTGAAAGTTATACTAGGCCTATAAAGCTCAAATAAACAAAAAGTATGTTTTTTAATCTTATAATTTGAATCTGTTTTTTGTGTAAATGCAGAAATACATTTTGTGACTGAAAGCCCAAAATAACAGCAGAGTCTATCAAGTGATAAGGATACTAGTTAATCATCTAATTACAAAAACAATGAGACCAAACCCTTCAAAAGAGAAAAGTATAACCTTTAAACAAAAATTAAAAAGTATAAGAAAGTTTTAGGAAATGCAAATAAAAAAAATACTCATTGAAACAACAGGCTTAGCAACATCAATTATCCTTTACCAGTTTTCTGTAAGAAAATGTCAAAGTGAGCCAGAAAGTCTCAATTTCCCAAAGCAAAACCCCCCCAAATCTTAGTGAAAAGCACCTAAACCCTAGAAGATCAGTATGTAAGAGCAAGAATGAACTACATGGCTCTAAGAAAAGCCTTAAGCTGCTAAACAGGAAGTCCATCATTGAGAGCACAATTACGGTATGAAACAGTACTTTTGGGCAGATAATGGTTATCTACAAGCAGAGAAACTTTGTCAATTTCAAAAGCAACACATTAGAACTGAAAAATATTACTTCCAAAAAATTATTTGTCTTATTGTTTTAAACACAAAGCTACAGTGCTGTGTTCACTACAGAAATTAAACATTGGACTGTAGCATTATAAGAGCCCTCAAGCTAACTTCTGAGCCATCAAAAGGACTCAAGGAATTACAGAACTGATAACTCAGAGTTCAAGCAATGATTTATCTTTTAAAGTTCATGAAGCAAATGAATGCAAGTTCAAGAATGAAAAACTCAACTAGACAGTAACAGTTGAAGAAGAAATGACATTACAAATCTTATATATTACTATTAGAGTATACAAGTACTATTATGTAGAAGCTAGTAATTAATGACATTACAAATCTTATATATTACTATTAGAGTATACAAGTACCATTATGTAGAAGCTAGTAATTAATGACATTACAAATCTTATATATTACAACTAGAGTATACAAGTACCGTTATGTAGAAGCTAGTAATTAATGACATTACAAATCTTATATATTACAACTAGAGTATACAAGTACTATTACGTGGATGCTAGTAATTAATGAAAAGTTTACAGAATTAGAAATAGATAGTTGGCAATGTGCTAAATCAGTTATACTTCAAGCAAAAAATAAACATGTCAGTGACTGAGTTTCTATATTTTTTCTTTTCATTAAATAACTGTAAAAATCACTATAGTTGTTTTATAACATAATCAGGAATAAAAATTGTTTTTCTTGTCTTACTGTGAGATTTGTTATTTGAAGCAAGGCCAGGTTCATTTACGACTGATTCTGAAGTTGGGCTGTTTTCCTTAACAACTTGATCCAAATTTAATGTTTGATTTTCTGTTTTTTCCTGCACATTAGGAATTTCATTTGATGTGGATCCTGCCATGACCCAGCAGCAGTACAAATCTGTAGTAAAAGAAAGTTGTGTGTGAAAAATAAAGATTTTATTTTTTAATATTTATAATGAAATTATCACACTGACATATTCTCAAACATTGTTTGTTATAAATATAGAATTATATTAGAATCATTTAGTCTATAGCTGTCATTAAAATTCTGCCAAGTCTATTAAAGTTATATTTTTCTACACTGAAAATATATTTCCAATAGCTACTTACCTTCTCTCATTTTGTACTGCCCTTAAAATGCAGAATTTTCACTCACCACTAGCCATGATACTCCCACCTATCCCCTCGTGAGCCTGTGGTTCAGCTGCACAGTATCATACAAATAAGCATGTGACCACCCTCCACCAATAGGAGTGCAACACACCCTCCTAGCATAGCTGACTAGGGTTACACTGTGGAACCCAATCTTCACCTCGAGATTAGGCATGAAAAACACACCAGAAGTGGGAAAGAAGGGTGGGAAGTGTTAGAGAAGGTAAATATCTATCGGAAATATATTTTCAGCATAGGAAAATATATAACTTCCGATAATGATATCTTACCTCCTCTCACAAAATAGTTAAAATCCCACACTCAACAGGTGAAGGGACCCATGTAAAATTACCTAAATGAGCCCCTTCAGCAGGCTTCTGAGGAACACCCATGGAGTGTAAACATGTAAATACTAAATCTTCCTTTAATAATTTTTTAACATTTTTAAAAGGTATTATGTGTTATCTGGATTATGAAAGGGTGTAAATTTAGTGCAAAGAATGGTAGACAGAATTAAAGTTCAAATTGCATCATATTCACTATCAAATAAAAGCAAAATCTTAAAAGTTATTTTCTCTCTTTTTTTATGTCTTGTATAATAAGGAGATGAAAAAGTAATTTTTTTAGCATTTTGTCACTTGGACAAATTTTTCAAAAAATTCCACATCCCTTCTTGTTACTAGTGGATTACCTCAAGTCCATTAGGGTCAAAGCTTTGGCATCTGCTTCTTCTTATTTATATTAAATAATGATACTGACAGATGCAATAGCTGAACATTCCCTCACAACACTGGAAACTTAAGAAAATAAAGAAAGCCCTTAGAATAAAAGAAAAAAATATATAAAAGTTGCAGAAATGAGCAAAATTTTGAACAATATTCTCAATTTGGAACAAAGGAGGATTAACTCACAATCACATATCCAATCAGAATCAACAAGAATCCTCTCTAAAATCTGCATAACACACCAATCAGGTGAAAGCAAGATTAAGAATTTCATTGCTAATCAAGTTTTAGGACATATAAAACAACAAAATCAAAATTCCCCTGTAACCATGACCTGATACAGAAATAAGCAAAGGGTGACTGTACCATTCTTAAGACAGTCCCCATGAGAAAAACATTCCCAAAAGTGTTATTGCTTCAAGAAAAGAACATCTTGATGTATAATCTCCATAGATACACACTTTTAATACATCTTAGAATATTTTCCTATTTTTTTAAACAATAAAATTCTAAAACTTATACATTCATCAGACATAAAACTGGCATTAAAGATGTGCTATTAGTGGAACTTAATAACTGATTAATCATAAAGCTCATCAATTGATTACATTCAATTAGCCAATTATTTTCAAGAGACTTGGATAGTTGAATTAATCAAAATGAGTAATAATTTGAAACACTAATTCTGATTAGTTCATTATTTTCATGAGTCATAACACTGATCAATTAGGATGAACAACACTGAATTAATGGAAAATAATAACAGGAAATCAAAAGGTAATATTTCAATTACTTGGATTGTTAGAATAAATGAAAAAGTTATGATCTGAAACAATAATTTCAATTAGTTGATTATTTTCTTAACAATAATCAATTTAATCATAAGTTTGAGTAATCAATTGCTTTACTTGACACTAATCAATATAACTGATGCTCAAAAGTAATCAATTATATTGATTAATCAAGTTAATCACCTAGCTTTCATTATCTCAAACACACAAGCTTCTATAGTACTGCCTTCATCAGGACTTATGATAAGTACAGGTATAAATTTTTTATAAAAGCATCCCTAGTTTTGGTTTAAAGAATATGGTCAACTAAGCTCCACATAAAACCTAAATCATCATCTCAGGAAGATGACGTTCCATCAAGATTTTTCAATAAAAAGAATTACCTTCAGATGAATATACCTCCAAAAAAACACTTAAAGTAAATTAGGAAACTTAGCAGCTATTTGAAAGGCATGGACTTCCTCTTTCTAGGAAGTAGTATAGTATAGATCTCCATCAACTCAGAATATTGCTCAAAACTTCCTAAAACTCCAAGACTGTCCCTGCATACTGGCTTTAAAAAAAGTAAAAACTTTAACACACCCTATATTAAGTTTATTTTTCAATTTCGAAAAATTATCGATTTCTATTTTAAACTCACTAAGTGTTATTTTTAAGTTCTACTACAGTGCAGGTATACTACTGACTACAGCCCATTACATTAGCTAATAACTCTTCAATCCCTAGAATCATTGTTGTGGCCCTCTGAGCCTTTTATAATAACTTAAAAGTCATTACCCCTTTTTTTAAGTTGAGAAAACAAAACTTGCTGTTATTTCACTGTTGTCAGTATTCCAAACGAGGGTCAACTAGTAATTGCCCCTTTGTGAGTTGTAAACAATGTGCCTGTAAATACATCCTAAAAGTAAGAGTCTATTAGTTATGTTGTTAGCCAAATAATAGCTTAATAGCTGAATGATTTAACCAACACTATGCCAAGATTATTTTCTTCATTAATGCTGTTGAGTAGGTTCACATCTGCATTATCCTAAGCTTACTATAATTAAAGGTCATTTGCTAAGAATTTGTTGAACTAACTAGCTTATTCAAATCTTTAATAAGCTAGAAATACTGAAGAGTTTAATTTTGTCTGCTTAGAAAGAAACTATACCTGAAAAGTGAAATGTGTTATTAATAGATGGCATCTTTTTAAATTGGAGTACTAAACGGTATTTTGTTACCCGTATGTTGTAATAAATTACATATACAATCTGCATTTGTGGAAAAACATACTACTACTAAGGCTATAATTTTTGTACTTCTGTACAATTTTAGCCTAAACGTACTATAACAGTATAAGTCGTAGGGTTAATATTAGGCATATGCAACTCCCAACTACGCAGTACAAGTTAGTTAGTAATACTATTAGTAGTATTAGTATCACTATCAGGTTTCTATACTATAGTATTAGTACATAACTATTTTATTATATTACAGTTAATATTAATTAATTACTTTACCCTTCAACTTAACTAGCTTGAAAGTTGAAAAGGCTAGAGATTAAAAAATCACGAAGCATACGATAAATATTAATAATGTTTCCTTCTTTTCATGACATTATTTTGACCATTCCCTACTCTAGTCAAGCTTACGTGAAAAACTTGATATTAAACTTACCCCCGTCCTACCTCAGTGGCACGTTTTCGGAATCCTACTGCAAAAAACAATAATAATAATCGGGTTGCAATACTAGCGGTGAGAAGAGAATAGATAGCCCATTATGTAGCTTTATGTTTAACAACAAAGAAACAAACACGCGAATATAAAATTCATAAAAACTTTAAAATATTTCAATCTGTTTACAGGCCATTGCTCTATGATGTATCAGAAATTTTGAACCTTTTAACACCAAGCACTCCAGTGGCACAGTGGTATGTTTACGGACTTATCACGCTAAAAATCGGGTTTCGATACCCGGGATAGATAGAGTACAGATAACCCATTGTGGAGCTTTGTGCTTGACTTCAAATAAACTATTGAAAGCATTAAACACAAATAAAACGCCAAAAAAGAATAATATAAATTTCTTGTTATAATGAAGTAAATTTTTACCCTTACAATCAGTTATCGTAAAGATAACGATAATTGTTTCTCTTAAAACATTATATTACGTTAAGTAGCATTATAGCTTATATCAATAATAAATTATTTTTGAATATTGTCAAAAGAGAAAAATTCGTGAAATATTCAGTGAGAAACAAAATACCATATTTTATTCGAATTAGAAATTATAATGTATAGGGTCTATAAATGACTGTTATTTGTCTTTAGAATTCTACTCAAAGTTACACATAGCTGTCTTTAATTTTAAGTTGATATACTAGACAGATGGTAGGTAATCAACAGTATATATCCATCACTAAATGAATGTGGTATTTGACCGTTATTTTGATATAGCACTCACTTTCCCAAAGTGCGTTTGTGTGGCATCGGGATGTGAACCTTCAGCTTCACAGTCTGAGCATGCTAATCACTGATCACACCTAGCCTAATGATAATTAGAAAGATTTATTATAGTTTTTACAAATTCATAAATAAATATTAATTAGCAATAATTTCAATTTTGTATGTTATTTCGGATTTATCCTTCAGCTTTTCCGTTCAACGATGCATAGTGATTTATTCGTCTGGCGTTATTGAAATAAACGAAATGAAAGCATATTATCTTAAACCAAGAGTGGTGCCATAAACGTATGACATATGGATATTAAAATATTACTTTTGTTCATAAAATGGATATCTGTGTCAGTGTAAACTACACGTACCTGATGATGAAAAAACCTTGTCGAAACGTTGTACGTTTGCTATTATTCTAAACTTATATTAAAGTTTTCTTCATTACTCATTCAAGCCGTCTCCAAGCATTATTAGTTTCAAGGTGGATTCCTCGTGATTGAATTCGAAAATGGAATTTGTATTAATGAATATTTTAGTTTAATTTTAGCGTAATTTCTTTGTTGTAAAAAATGAAAAAGATTATTAATAAATAATAGTTTAACAAATTGAGTTTCGTGAAATTTTATCTATATTGCTTTTAATGTCATTGTGAAGTTGACCTAAACTCATAGATACACGTTAGTTAATCGAAAAGTTGTCCATTTCAAATCGTTTTAACATAGGGCATCCGTTACAGAAGATATTGGTGTATTTTACATAGTACATTACAACACCATATCTTTGAAGTATGTATACATATATATATATATATATAAAAGAAGTTCAGTTATTTTAATATGAAAATGAAATTAAAAGATTTATTGAGCGATTTTTGTGGATTAATCTACATATGACAATGACGTATTAACATTTGTTATTAATTTATATTTTCTTTATTATTTGAATCGCTCAGATCACATAAAAAGCTTTAGATATATGCTGTCCTCTAGTGACTAATATTTATATTACTATAAAAAAAAAAATCTGCAAAATTTAGCGACATCTAGTGGCTCTGTTTAATAGTGATATATCGACGCGAGGTCCAACATCGTAAGTTGCAGTTCTTAGAGTTGTGATAGGGATTTACATCATCCACATCTTTTAGTGTTCTCTCTCGTTTATCAAAGGTAAGTGTTCCTGAAAGACCTATATATATTTAAACTACTTTGATATATATATATGAGCTACTTCTTGTCTTATTAAATTAGGTTCATACACATCTGGTTTCCTTTGTTATTTTAATTTAAGTGGAAATAATTCTTTATATAGAGTGAGACATCAAGGCGCAATAGTCAGGCGCCATTTCGTTAGAAAACCAGATTCGAGGTAAGGTGAAAAAGGGCCCCTTTTTGTGCATACCTAGTGCTAGTTGTCTACCATAGTACCTGTTCTGGGAAATAATGTTAAAATCGCGAAAGTACAGGAAAGAGTTAGCAACGATTAATATCTATATTATTTTTATTTACGAATTTAAGTTAAACTTTTATAGACAGTATAAGCAGTACTATTGGCTTGCATTTCTCGCATTATTAACATTTTAAAAATGTTATTAATCATTAAAACAATGTGAATTGTTTAACTAACATTAAATGTTAGCTGTTCAAGTTATAATTAATGTAATGTCGATTAGTAAATATATATTTTGACTTTAGTTTGTTATATATAACAAAACGATTTTAGACAAAGACTAAGGTAAAAGAAGTGTGTGTGTGTATATTATTCTCACTTAGGTCAGATAAGGTTGAAAATCGAATGTTTGTGCATTGTTTACAAATCATACGAAAAAGTATTTTAATATTTTATTGTAATTTTAGCTTTAATTTCTGTCGCAAGTAAAGCTAACTTAGACGTTTAGGTGATTGGTTGATAATTTTTATTAAATCATGCTCTTTTATTTGCTCTTACATGTATAAAATTACTCTGGCAGCTCGAAAACGTTTGTCGCGATTGAACATAGTGTTTGGTTTTCTTCCTGCTTTTATTTTCTGAAATGTAGCATATAGTATGCATTGATAGCAAAGTGAAGTTTTAAGTCGATACGAAAACGTTTACTCTTCTTCGTTTTTTTGCATCGTAGACACAGAATACACATAACATTTGTTATGTGGTCCCCAAGGTTAGCAGTCTGGCTTCTAGTCTTGTCACTGGGCGCGGTAAAGGTAAGTAACTCAAAAGCCTCTGTATTTTATTTATTATTTTTTCTACTCCTGTGTAACCAAAATTCACCAAAATAATCTGAGCTGTACTATTCTCAATAGCTTCAATTTACATATGAAAAGATACATTAAATACAGTTTTCCAGAAATTTTTGTCAGCTGTCTTTAATGTTAGGGTAAGGTGTTAAGAAGTTCTATAAGTGGTTGGTTAAGGCATTTTTTTTTTTTTCATATTTTGAGTACAGTAAAAAGAAAAGCGTACAATTAACATTTTTCTCTTGTCATCACTATATCTTATCTATATGTAATTAAACCTTAATAATATACTGTAGCTATGTCTCACAGTATATAATCTTATATATTTTTATTGCTGTATAATTTCATATATGACAGCTAGTTACGACTACATTATAAAGAGTATTTATTCTAAAATTAAAACCTGGTGTACGATCAACATGAAAGTTCATCCCTTCATTTATATGTTGACATTAAAAAAATATTTTTGAGTTTGAAATTAACAGTAATCTTTAAGTCTAAGCAGTTAGATATGAGTGTTGATCACATCATAGTATCACAAGTACATTGGTTCATCTTTTATTAAAGTGAGGACATCGTTTGAGCACCACTTAATTGCTGAACACTCCAAATCACACCTTCTGTTACCAGGTCGATTGAAAATGTACTTTTGATATTGTAAAATTATTTAAAAACTTTAATCAATATTTTATTTTAATGTAGTGTTGGCGAAAATTTATATTATCAAGACTACATTGTTTTCGAACTAATAATAATAATAATAATATATGACCTAACCCTAATAGAAACCTCTATCCGATCTCATCTAAGTGGACTTTTATTACCAAACTGCTTGTAATGGAGTTTAAACTAAAAATAATATCAATAATACAGATAGCTGAGCGTTAAATCTGTCGCGAAAGTTATTTCCCCTTAGGGCTGTACGTCTTTCTCCAGCTGAACTATTTAGAGATGAATTAAGGCAACTGTTATTTGTTAGTTAAATCAGATTTTATATAGGAATTCTTGTGTACATACCCATTCAACTGACCACAGTACTTTGACACTTCACTGTAGGATTAAATACGCACAGAATTGAGAATGACGTGTCTAATATTGTTTCTTTTCTCCCTGCAAAAATAAAAGTATTACTTCTATAATAGGATTAAAATCAACTGAATTATACGTACGTACGTTCTTCTGACTGACCAGAATACCCTAAATACCTCACAGTATACAGCTGAAGACAAAATAGATATACTTATACTATTGCATTCCTATTCATGCTCTGAAGATTTACAAATCTAGAAACCTGGTTTCGGTACCCGTGGTGGGCAGAGCACAGATAGCCCATTGTGTAGCTTTGTGCTTAACTTCAAACAACGATCTAATCATGCCTTGAAGTTCAAATAGCCATGCATTAACGTCTGTTTAGACCTTTTCTAATCTGTGGTGATATCACCTGCATTCAGAAAACCCTGATTAAGTGTTTTTTTATTGAACATTTCAAATTCTAAAACATTTTATTTAACATTGATTTAGACCAGCACTATCCTTCTTATATCTTTAAAGGACTAAAGTGGACGTAACAACATCCGCCTCGGTCTGTTACATCCAAGAAATAGTCCATGTTATAAATAGGGTCGATATTTAGGGCGGAAACATCTTTCTTCCTGGGGACATATACACTTCGAAATCGATGCTAGCTTCTATTCAATCTCTTTCTATATTTTTCTGTAGTTGACATCCGAAAAGTCATTTTCTAGACATCCTCATTAAAATGAGGAAGAATATGTGTGTATGTACGAAAGGAGCAGGGCTAATTGATTCGAGTATTTATATATATATATCGTAGGAAATATGCAAACCCCATTTGTCTTTTGCTAATTTTTATTCGATTGTCACTTATATTTAAATAGCAATTAACATACAATGATGATAAAGTCATGAATTACCTTATTGATAATTTATTAATTAGTACTGTTCTCAGCCAATGCAAGCATCTTTGGTTTGTATGCTCATGAGCACGAGCTCTTGAAACTTACAGTAGATGAACGAGAAAATCCGATAATATTAAGCCTCGTAATATACGTCGCGTGTTTGACAAAGCTGTGTTCCATTAAAATTAGAGTAGTAGTCACGAGTCTCGTTAATATCAAATTTGAAGTCTTGAAACAGGATTTGTACAAACGTATTGCATTATTATTTTCAACGAAATATAAGTATTATAATAACGCAATGAAGAATAATTAATATGCTTTTATATATTTGAATAATGTTATATCAATGATATTTAATTAACTTTAAGCGCACAGTTCCACTCTTCACTTAATGAAACATATTTGTAGAATCGAACATTCTTGATCAATTATGTTTTTTAAGCACTGAAGTTAATGCAAAAAGGAGATTTAAAAGATTAAAAACACAAATGATCTTCAACCTGGGAGACAAGACAATTGTTAATTTTGTTTGATTGAGTCATAAAAGAAGGCTGAATATGTGAACC